AATGTAGATGATCAGGTGTGTGCCTATGGACCAAGTATTAATCCAAGCTAGACAAGGGCAGCAAAACATCCACAGATGCAGAAGATTTCTCTCAAAACGGGGGGGGGGGTGAGGTTCTGAGCCTCACCTCTGTTGATCCCCAATTTCTCACCTGATGGCCCCCCTGCGACTGTGCCTGTCTTAGGTTGTTCCTCCCTTGAGGAATCTTACCCATCACTACTGAGGGACATTTTGCAAACTAACTGGCCAGCACTCTTAAAAAGCATCAAGGTCATGAAAGGCAAAGATCCAGAACTGTTCCAGATTAACAAAGATGAAGAACATACAGTGACTTAAGTACAGCATATGATCCTGGACTGGATCCTGGTCCAGACACTAGGACATTAGTGGGATAGCTGATGAAATCTGGATAAAGTCTGTAGATTATCAGTGTTAGTTCATAATTATACTGTTGTACATAACCTTCAAAATATTTGAAGCAATAATTAACAGAACTGAAGGGAGAAATAAACAGTTATCGAATAACAGAGACTTCAATAGGCTATTCTCAATGGGTAAAATGACCAGACAGAAGGAAAGAGGAACTGAAGAACAAAATAAATCAACTAGACAGACATACGCAGAACATCTACCCAACACCAACATCAAGTAGTGCACATGGGACACTCTCCAGGATAGACCACGTGTTAGGCCATAAATTAAAAGCCTCAAAAGATATTAAAATGGAGCATATGGGAAATCTGACCCTTATGCATAATTTTACTGTGAACCTAAGATTGTTCTAAAAAATAAAAAGTCTACACTAAAAAAGAGAGATCCTACAAAGTATCTTCTCTGACCACAACAGGATAAAGTTAGAAAACACTAACAAAAGAAAAACTAGAAAATTCACAAATTGTGGTAATTAAACAACATACTCAAACAACCAATAGGTCAAGGAAGAAATCACAAGAAAAATCAGAAAATATGAATGAAAGAGATGAAAATGAAAACAACATATCAAAACTTATTTGACACAACAAAAGCATGGTTAAGAGTAAAATGTATAGCTATAAAGACTTCCATTAGAAAAGAAGAAAGATCTCAAGTCAACAACCTAGCTTCAGAACTTAGAAAATTAGAAAAAGAACAAACTGAAGCCAAAGCTAGCAGAAGGAATTAAGCATCAGAGCAGAGATACGGAATTCAAAAATTAGAGAAAAATCAGTACATGAAAAATTGGTTCTTCAAATAGATTAACAAAATTAAACCATTAGATAGACTAAGAAAAAAAAACATTCAGAATTAAAAATAAAAGTGGGGCCATTTACTACCAATTCCACAGAGATAAAAGACATGAATAACTGTACGCCAACAAATTGGATAACCCAGATGAAATGTACAAATTCCTAGAAACACAAAACCTACCAGGACTGAATCCCATAGAATCAGAAAATCTGAATAGATCCATAACTAGTAAGATTGGATCAGTAACAAAAAACATCCTTCCTGAACAACTGATGGATCAAAGAAGATATTAAAAGGAAACAAAAAATCTTGAGACAAACAAAAATGCAAACACAACATACCAAAACTTATGGGATGCAGCAAAAGCAGTTCTAAGAGGAAAGTTTATAGCAATACCTACATTAAGAAGAAAGATTGCAAATAAACAAGCCAACTCTACACCTAAAGGAAATAGAAAAATTATAAACTGAACCCTAAGTTTAGATCATAAAGATTAAAGCAGAAATAAATGAAACAGAGAACAGGAAAACAGTAGAAAAACTTAACCAAACTAAAGGTTGGTCCTTTGAAAAGAAACAAAATTAACATACCCTTAGCTAGACTAACCAAGGGAAAAAGGGAAAGGAGCCAAATCAGCACAAATATAAGTATGAAAGAAAACATTACAACTGACACTACAGAAACACAAAAGATCATAAGAGGCTGCTAAAAACAACTGTTCACCAACAAACTTCATAACCTAGAATGGAAAAATATTTAGAAACACACAAACTAAAATTTGAAGAAACAGAAAGTCCGAATAAATCAATTACTAGAAAGGAGATGGAATCAGCAATCAAAAATTTCCCAACAAAGAAAACTCCAGAACCAGATGGCTTCACTGGTGAGTTTTACCAAACATTTAAAGAAGAATTAATGCCAATCCTCAGTCTTCCAAAGAATTGAAGATGGGGGGAACACTCCTAAACTCATTTTACAAAGCCAGCATTACCCTAACCAAAGCCAGGAAAGAAAACTATCTGAGAAAAAGAAAACCAAAACTACAGACCAATATTCCTGGATGAAGATAGATGCAAAAATTCCCAAAATACTAGCAAACTTAATTCAGTAGCACATTAAAATAATCATTTTCCATAATCAAGCAGGATTTATACCAGGGATGCAAGGATGGTTCAATATCCCAAAATCAATGTGATACAGCACAATAAAAAGAATGAAAGAATAGTGTCACATGTCCATCTCAATAGATACAGAAAAAGCATTATGACAAAATTCAATGTCAGCTCATGACAAAAAATCTTAACAAATTAAGTATAGAAGGAATGTTCCTCAATATATAAAGGCCATTTATAGTAAGTCCACAAGTAACATCATACTCAATGGTGAAGGGGTGAAAGCTTTTCCTCTAAGATCACAACAAGGATGACCACTCTCACCACCCCTATTCAACATAGTAGAAGTACTTACCAGAGCAATCAAGCAAGAAAAATAAAAGGCGTCCAAATCAGAAATAAAGAAGTAAAACTGTTTCTACTTGCAGATGACATGATTTTATGTACAGAAAATCCTAAGACTCCCAACAAAAAAACTGTTAGATCGACTCAATGAATTCAGTAAAGTTGCAGGATACAAAATTAACATACAAAAATCAGTAGTGCTTCTATACACTAACAATGATTATCTGAAAAAGAAATAAAGAAAACAATCCTACTTACAATAGTATCAAAAATAATAAAATACTTAGGAATAAACAAATGGGGAGGTAAAAGAGCTCTACTATGAAAGCTACAAGACACTGATGTACAAAATCAAAGACAGAAACAAATGGAAAATGATGGACAGTGACTGCATTGGGGTATGGGTGGGGACTTGATAATACGGGTAAATGTAGTAACCACATTGTTTTTTCATGTGAAACCTTCATAAGAGTGGATATCAATCATACCTTAATTAAAAAAAAAGTATGCAAAAAAAAAATGGAAAAGTAGTCCAGGTTCAAGATGTGAAAGAATACTGTTAAAATGTCAAAACTACCAAAATCCATCTATAGATTCAATGCAATCCCTATCAAGATTCCAATGGCATTTTCTCAACAAAATACTAGCAAACTGAATTCAGCAGCATACTAAAGGGATCATACACTATAATCAATTGATTTTTCCTGAATTCAAATATAGTTCAACATATCAAAATCAATCAATGTAATACACATTAACAGAATGCAGGGGGGAAAAAAACACAATAATTTCACCTGATGCTGAAAAAAGCATTTGACATGATAAAAACTCAAAATCTAGAAGTAGAAGGAAACCATCTCAACATAATAAAAACCATTTATGACAAACCCACAGGTAACATCATACTCAATGGTGAAAGACCAAAAACTTCCTTTAAGATCAGGAACAGGACAAAGAAGCTCACTTTTGTTACTTCTATCATTATAGTACTGGAAGATCTAGCCAGTTAGACAAGAAAAAGAAATAAAGGCATCCAAATTGGAAAGGACGAGGCAAAATT